CTGAAGCTGATTGCTGCGTCCCACTCTGCCATCTCATCAGGGCCGATGAGACCTGGCACCTCGGCATCGACCTCGGAGATCACAACTTCGCCCTGCGTACCGTTGATGCCGACTGTGTAGCACCACGCACGCTCTGACAAGAGCGGCACGCCTGGGCCGAACTTGAAGTACTCGCGCTGATTGATGCTGTGGTACGGCACGCCCATGGCATCCAAAGTCTTCTGCAGCTCGACATGCCACGGACGTCCACCGACAGCCCGCTTGCAGCCCGTGTCAATCATAGCCAGCCCCGCGGGCAAGACAACAAGCATGACGGACTGCTCATCTACCACCTTGCGGGGGCACTCCTCTCGGGTGGTGACCATGTGGGCCGCAGATCCCCCTTTTGCTGCCCAAGGGTCTGCGCCCTTTGCTGCCCAGGGGTCCGCGCCCCCTTTGACGGCAACATCCTCCCCAGTCGGGGCGGCAGACGTTAGTCCTGGCACAGCTCCGTCTGGGGTGTTCTTGGAAGGTTCCCCTTCATCCTTCTTGGGCTTCTCCAGCGTGTAATGAATCACCGACTTCAGCGAACACTTCTTGCACTTCGCGAAGATCACGGTGCCGTTTGACTGCCACTTCAACTCGCCCACAGGATGAACACATTCAGCCTGCTGCTGCATGAGCTCGGGGTCGAACTTCGCCTTCGGGCCTGGAACCAGCCTCTCGCCGTCGAACTGCGAGTCGTACATGGCTCGATGCATCTGCTGCTTCTCCAGGTCACTCTGCGTGGCACCGACACTCATGACGTAGCTCCGTCCAGAGGCGGTGACTACACGCGGGACTCCAGATGCAGCTGAAGATGCCGTCGCAGCGGCAGGGGCACCTGAGCTCGCGGCTCCTGGAGGCGCTGGAAGGTGGACACGCCGTCGTATTGCCTCCATGTTCTTCCACACGCTTCCGACTCCCTGCTGCTCAGGAGATGTGGGCAGGGCACGCTCTGGCAGAGGTGCCTGCTCACGTCGCTTCTGTAGGCCGTCGTAGACCTCGCATGGGTTCAATCGGGCGTGCATCTCCATCTCCTGTTTCTCTATCAGCGCGAGGCGATCCAGCAACTCAGCTTTATCACGCTGCAAAACCTCTAGTCGCTTCTTTTCCTCGCTCTTTCTCACTTCCTCGAAAACTCCTGCCATGACCCAGTCCTCTTCCTTAGGGACAGCGGCGGCCTCCCGAGTCGGAGCGGCAGACGTTAGTCCAGGCACAGCTCCGTCTGGGGATTCTTTGGTCTTCGATGCCCCCTTTGCCGACGCCTCCACCACGTATACGGGATGGGCCCTCGCAGGGCCGCTGGATAAGGAGAAATCTGGCTTCTCGCAGCGGCGCGTGTAGAGATTGAGGCGCACGATGCGATCGTTCTTAGTGATGAAGTGGATGGTTGCCGGCGGCGTCAGGTAATCCCTGAAGATATCCTGACGCGGATACCAGCTGCAGAAGATCTGGCCTCAGGATCCTCGCTGGCCTCGTCCTCGTTCTTCACCTCCTTGCTGTTTCTTGCCTTCTTTCTCTCTTTCTTCTCTTCTTTGCTGCTCCTCGCCTTCTTCTTCTTCTCTTTCTTTTCTTCCTTTTCTTCCTTCTCACCGCGGTCTTCTGGTGGACTCCGCTTCTCTTTCTTCACACCGCGGCCTCCTGGTGTACTCCGCGACCTTGAACGCGAGGAAGCCTCCGCCTCGGGCGGAGGAGGGGCGCGAGGCTCGCGAAGAACAGCTCCCCGATCACGCTGGCGGTCGTCCCGACGATCTCGATGATGATCTTCACGCTGCTTGGTGTCACGACTCCCGCCTTCACCGCGCCGATCGTCACGGGGCTTGGTATCACGATTGCCGCCCATCACGATCTTGAATATAGTTGCCGTGATCTCGTCGAGATCCACCTCAGCCGCCGTACAAGGCCTCGATGTGGTCAGCTGCAGGCGCACGAGCCGACCCTGGACGAAGTCGAGGCTCTCGAAGCGGCCTTGCTTGAAGAAGATAGGCTTCTTGTTCGTCACGCGCTCCACGATGTGATGGACCGTGGCAAGGTCAGGAAACTCCAACTCCACGCTGTGCCCCTTTGCGTGGGTGTTGGCCAGAATGCGATGGCAACGCACGACAGCATCCTCGTCCCCCTGATCCCCCCCGCGCCTGGCACGGGCGCGCGCGCGTTCATCACTGCTCTGTGCGGCCCCTGGGCCGTCGTCGGCGTCCTGGCGTAGGCTCGGCGCAGGCATGCTTTTGGGCCTGGGGTGCATAATGATCCGCTCTGGCGCGTCCGCTCGACCCTCCACTGGATGCCTCTGGGCAGGCACCGACTGGGGAGCACGGCGCCATGGAGCGCGGCCACGACGCTCCTCGGCACTGCCTGCCATGCCAACCCAGTGGACGATCGGTCCATGCACCTGCCTAGGCGCCGGCGGCTTCACAGAGGTCCGCTGGTTGGGCGACGCTGGCTGGCCATTCTTAGGCCCGATCTTGTTGTACGGCTCGCGCTCGCCACTCTTCACCTTGGGGCACTCCGGGTCGCCACGCCAGTGGCCAGGCTGATCGCAGTCAGCACACCGGCTGTTAGCCTTGCGCTGGTCTGTCGGCTTCCGACCAGCCTGGAAGGAGCCGCTAGCGTTGATCTTCTTGGGGTCCCGCTGCCGAGGAGCAACGAACCCGCGCTTCTGACGCTGTACCGCCGTCTTCTGCTTGGCCCTCCAGCCGGCCAAGAACGCTTCCTGAAGATCCTCCGGTGCCTCGTACTCCTCGTCGTCAGGCCCGTCGTTGTCCGACACCAGCTCCTCGTCGACCTCAGCGCCGTCCTCGAAGAGGGTGCCCTCGGCCCCTCCATGGTCTCCATCGTCCTGGTCGTCTGCTTCATCTTCGTCATGCAGCGCCTCCTCGAGGTCGCCGTGGTGTTCATCGTAGTCTTCGCCGTTCTCTACCTCGTGTACGTGCTGGCCAGGGCGTCCTCGCAGCACGCATGGCCTACGAGCCATGGGAGGGTGCGGATGGCGACCGCCCGAACTCCCAGAGGAGCGCCCGTGCTCACGCTGCGCCGCAAACGGCGAGCGGCGAGGGAGCACTGAGCGCTTCTCGGCGTCGTGCACCTTCGAATAGGCTGCCTTCAGCACAACCTCCATCCGCTTCGAGTCGTAGATGCCGCCACAGTTGAAGAGCACCTGCGCTCGCTCCTTCTGCGACAGTCCAGCGCCACGAAGCATCTTGCTTGCCAATGCGCGATCGCTGATCGCTGATGTGGGATCCTCGAGCTGCAACTCCATGCGCTTCTTGCGCAGGTACGTGGTCCAATCCATGATCGGCTGCCCAGCTCGACGGTGTGCTCGCTCCCAATCCTGATGCACCTGATCGAGGCGCTCGTGATCCATCTTCTCGAAGGCGTCGTCGTAGATAGCAAAGATGGTCTCGAGCGTCTCCTCGCGTCGGAGGTCCGACGCGTCAAGCACCTCGATGAGCTCTTTGGCTCGACCTGTCACTTGACTGTAGATGATCAGGCCCAGCTCCACGTCTGAGAGCTGATTGAGGTTGCGGATGACTTCAACCTCCTTGCGCCACTCTCGGTACTTCTTAGTACTCGTACCGACTCCACCATCGAACTCTGGGAGCCTCACCTGCGACAGCAGTAGACGTGTACGTCTGGGACCGCCGTCGCCACGATCCCGATGCAAGGCCAAGAGCTCCCGCTGGGTCTCGGCCATCACGCGCAGGACTGCATGCAGGTCCGGGGGACCTGTGCCTGCGGAGGACGCAGCCTCCACGTCTGAGCCGTCGTGGCTGGTGGCCATGGCGGCCCACGCGGGTGGTCACAACCACCGAAGCAGAGCACGCAGTGCGTCCGCTGGAGCTTACTAGCTCCGCTACCAATGTCAGTGCAGTTGTTTTCAGCAAAGACCGCGCGGCAGTCCAACTGCGGGTGCGTCCCAGGGCCCTAGGACTAGGGCCAAAACAGCGGCGGGCAGCGTGCATGCCACAAAACAAGACAAGCGTGTACAACATACACACATGGTGGCACGGGCGGCAGAGGGGCAGGGGAGTGCACTCTTCACAGTCGGAAGACTCGGGAGTCCCTGGGCCTCCTGAGAAGTTCTCTGGGCCTTCCCTAGAGGCACCAACAGAAACTGCTCAGAGGCCCCGAGGGCTTCCGAGAAGGTCCCCCGCCTTCTGAGGAGGCCTTCTCACCCTCACGTCCCCCCCTCGCTCGCCGCCGGGTGGACCCCTTGGTGCCCATCGGCTCTGGGCGGCCTTCGGCACTCTTCCGCGGCCCCCCGACGGTCTTCGAGGGTCTTCGGCGGTCTCTGGCGGCCTCCGGTGGTCTTCGGCGCGAAGGCTGGAGGGCTGCGTTCAGCAAGGGGCCCGCGGTCGAGCACCCCTCGGGCCGAGGGCGGGGAGGAGCAGCAGCAGCAAGACGGCACAAGAGCAAGCCAGCGGGACTCCCGAGTCGGCGCCAGGCCCCCACCAGGGGGCCACATGCGAACCCTACCCCTACCCCCCACGATTCCTGAAGGGGAGGATGGGGTTCACTTCGTTCGGGAGCTCCCGAGCGATATGAACCCCACCCTCCCCCTCGGAAGTCGTGGGGGGTTAGGGGTAGGGTTCGCATGTGGCCCCCCGCCCCCTCCCCCGGCGCGCGGAGCCCAGGCGCGGCCGAGCCCAGAGGGGGCCCCAGCGCCGACCTCGGGAAGGCTGCTCTGGTGCAGCCGTTTGCCGCACGGTGGCCCCAGAGCGGGTCGGAGGCCACGGGGGGCCTCTCTCAGAGGCCGGGGCGGGGGGGGTCCAGGAGGTCCCCCTCCTCCTCGTCCTCGCCCTCGTCCTCGTCCTCGTTCTCCTCCTCCTCCTCCTCCTCCTCCTCCTCCTCCTCCTCCTCCTCCTCCTCCTCCTCCTCCTCCTTCTCCTCCAGGGTCGGGCTCGGGGTGGGTCGGGCTCGGGGTCTGCCTCCTTGGAACGCAGGCCCCCTTCACGCCGCCCCTGCGCTTTGCGGCGCCAGGCCTCTCCGCGCAGCCTCCAGCACGGGAGGTACGGGAGCCGCTCGGCGGGCCCGTAGAACACGCAGCAGGCCTCGAAGCTGAGGGGCGGTGGGAAGCACGCGGCGTCCTGGCTCCTCTCGTCACGGGCCAGGAGGTGGTTCTGGCAGGTACAGCACAGCTCGTACTTTGGGTGCAGGCCAGGGCCGCCGCCGAAGCACCTTGGGGGATGCCAGCTGCACACCGCGCCCGTCCTGGCCAGACCATCCTGGGCCCAGGATCGGCGCCAACGCCTTCCTGGCTTGGTCACCAGGTCCAACGCCTTCCTGACGTCGCGATTTTTGCACAAGAAGGCCACAAGGGACCGGTGTTTCATCCCGAGACACTTTTTGACGGTCAGGGCGGCCGGCAGAGGTCCCTGGAGGCCGAAAGCTATCCAAAGACCTCCGGTCGTGATCGTTTCACGGCGCGCGGTGGCGTGGCCCAGAAGGCGCACGCGCCAACCCTGGGCTCAGGATGGGCCTGGCCAGGGCCGTTGTGGTGTGCAGTGTGGCGTCCTGCGACACCTTTCCATCGTCCCGCGGCGGCCCCGCCCCTCTAAGGGCCAGGGGGGCCAGCAAAGACAGACGGACAGACCTGGAGATCCCCAACCACAAAAAAAATCTGCGTGGGGGTCCCCAGATGTATGTTGCTCCCATCGTACTTACGGACCACATCCCAGAAATTATTTCGAGCACATAGAAAGTGTCGAAACAGTGTCGAACGAGTGTCGCCTCCCTGGGCCCGACACGTGAAAACCCTCAAGTTTCGGTACCTTCCAGGTGCTCGAAACTCTTTCTGGCGGTCAAGGCTAAAGTAGGCTGGAACAGCAGAACCCCGGATGTGCACATCCTCTCCTGGCACTTCCCGATGCGAGCGTCTGTGTGGGAGAGTCTCAGCCTGTGGCGACGGAGCGATCCCTGGCGGTTACCCCTAGGGCGCCCAAGTGCTATGTTTAAGTCGGGCACGTCCCCCTACAGGCCGATTCTGGACGAGAAATTGAACATAGTCAAACAAAAATTGACAACAAGCCCTTATGTGCATATATATATATATATATATATGTATACTAGTAACATTAAAAAATACTAGTAGTAGTAATAATTATAATAATAATACTAATAATAATTATTATTATTATTATATATAGTCCCCTGACTACTTTCTGACTATTTTTGCAGTCTTCTCCTGTAAAGGGACACGCCCGATGTCATGCTATGCCTGATGCGTTGGGATGACCTCGGGACCCGGAAAAGAAAAAATGCACACGTCCGAGCGATGCCAAGACATCCGAAGGCGAACGGGCAGATGCGCCCCCCACCTGGCGGCTCCTTCTGGTGTCCCCACAAGTGCGATGCCTGCTATTTCGCGGTGGCTCCAGAGAGAGTAGCCGGCGACGCCTGGCGAGCGAGCCGCTCGAGAGTTCCCCGCACAACGGGCGCGAACAAAGAAATTAAATACCCCCCCCCCAGCAGTTCCTCCTTGGGGTGCCCAAGTGCCATGCCTGTTTTATCGCGTTGATCATAAGAGACATCCCCACAATGTGGCCGCGAGCGGAGAAATGACACTCCTGACGGAACCTCGCTGGGAAGCCCAATGGCTATGCCTGCTGTATCGCGATGGCCACAGAACTCTCAAACGAGAGGAGTCGGCGACGCCAAACGAGCGAGTCGCTCGAGACATCCTGGCAATCCAAGCTTCTGGGCGCGAGCTGGGACCTGAAATGCCCTCTGGCCGCTCCCATCTGGGGTGCTGAAGCCTGCTACATCGCGGAGATCACGGGCGAGTCTGAGCATAAGGAGAGCGTGCGAGTGGGTTTCAATGCGAATGGCAGGCTCGACTCGGTTCGCGCCCTGTTAAGCCATGAAGGCTGGCCCCGGTCAAGGGGGGAGCGGCATGCCACAGCGCTGCGATTTGCCCCGCGCCGAGCGGCGGGTGAAACATGTAAAGTACTTTCAGTTTGGGGAAATCACCCTCCAAAGCAACCCACGCGTCTGGAATCTCGGCGATATCTGTCCAAGTTCCGTCGTTGAAATCGCCAAAGCAAATATTACACATCAAATTGTAATTCTCTTCCCACCTCCTCGATGGTATTCCGATGCGGTCCCGTTTCTTCTGCGTCCGTCCAGGCTCCCACTCCAATACTCTGAAAAAGACATGTGGACGTATCCTTTGTTCGATCCAAATGTTCCAACTGCTCCTCAATAGCCTGGGCCGTTCGCTTCAGCCAGTCAACAAGGACTCCACATCGTCGTTCTCGTCGTCCATGCGTACATCTGGATCGGCATCGCTGTTGGAAGAATCACACATGTTTTCCTGCGGCGCCGTCGTGACCCGATCACCATCCGCATCATCTGCCTCTCCGTCTTTAGCAAAACGCTATCCATGGCCGCTGTCAGTATCCAGCAGAAGGAGCCGTAGAGGGCGCACGGTGCGATGACGCTCTCGAACAAGCTCAGCCTGGCCGTAGAGGCGCTGTTCGTTCGTGAGCTCGCTTCTGAGAATGTGGACATGTCTCCTGGCAGCTTGCATGCGACAGTCCGTCTCTGTGGAACGCACGTCTTGGAATGACGTCTCGCGCCCCGAATACGCTGTCGAGGCAGACCCTTTGAGCAGCTCAGCCTGCATGCCTTGCGACGTCGAGGGGCCGCCGCGCGGCCTCGCCACGTCTGGCCCGAACGTTCGTCGTCACCTTTGATTTTTGTTGCTCCCGGCTTGAGGTCAGTCCACAGGCTGCGCAAACTTTAGCCACGTCTACCAGCATCGCTCTGACGGCTTATGAGGAGGAGCTCACCAGCAAGACGTCGTCTGCGAACCGGAGACTTGTCACGCGGGCGTCCCCGAGCACAAAATCGGCCCCGGCGGCTCCCCATTTCGTGCGAATCGTTTCCCCCCCCAAAAAAAAACATTTATCTATATATATATATATATATATATATATATATATGTGTGTGTGTACATGTAGGCACAGAATTAGAAAAGACAGGGTTTACTGGGTCCATATGCTTTGCCCCTCGCCGGATCGGGAAGCACTGGCTTTCTATGTCGAGGTACCTGTTTCTGGCCTTCGTATGCTCTGTGCTGAAGACCGACGTGCGATGCAGGAACCTTCTGATCCAGCAGGGCAGGCTATACGCTGTCATGCGAAACAATGTCGAAAGCTTTCTTGAAATCCAGCGTTGAAATTCACAGCGGGCGCCCCTATTCGTCACAGCTCTCTTGCAAAAAATACAAAAGCCAACAAATGGTCTTCCACGTCGAATGCCGATCGGAACCCTGCCTCGTCGGGACGTGGCGCTCACTTTAGGATCGGGGTTAGACACCTGCGAAACAAACAGCTAAACAGCTTGCACAAATATGAGATGATAGTGATCGGTTTGTACTTTGAAGGGAAACGCACGTCGCCATCCTCGAAAATCACACTGATAGAAGAGTTGTTCCACTTTCCGGGGTAGGTGCGTTCCCCTGAAGTGTGAGTGACAGAGTGTGAGTAGTAAGTCTGAGCGTAGGTCTGAACATGAGTGAGACTGCGTGTGACTGATCAGAGTAGTGAATGGTCCTTGAGTACGACTAAGCTGAAAATCAGCGCTTATGAGCGTGAGTGGTCTGAGTATAAGCGGTATGTCTGCCTGTGGCATGCGTGGGTGAATATCAGTATGAGTGGGTCTGAGTGTGGGTGTGAGTGGATCTGAGTGTGAGTGGGTCTGAGTGCGGATGAGTCTGAATTTGTTGATTTGGCACCTCACCACGCACCAGAGGTCACAGCCCCCCGACGAACGGAACCAGGCTGCCACAGCAACGTCAAACAGCACCCGACTGAGTGCTCGAGCGTGAGTGAGTCTGAGAGTGAGTCTGAGTGTGGGTGGGGAGGAGGGAGGAGGGAGGAGGCGGGAGGTGAGGAGAATGACGAGGAGGCGGAGGCGTCACACCAGTCACAAGAACCCCAAACTTAGGACACGGGGAACAAAAAAACGAGAGGAGCCGATGCTCCAATTGTACGCCCCGACGTCGGTCCGAGGCCGCGGGAACAACGGCATCGTGGCAAATCACGCCTAGAGTGCATGATTCTTCGAACTGAATCGGTCCATAATCGGAGGGAGGCAGAACTGGGTTTGTGGGACCGGGGGACGCCCCCCCCCCGCCCCGTTCCACTAACAGGAACTGCCGTCACCCGAAAAACACCAGCTACGGCAGACCTGGTTTAGCGATTCTGGCCAATTTAGGGGTTCTTGGGCCCTACTACTAACCGGGTCCCCTTACCTGGGGTCCTGGCTATACCCGACATGAAGGGGGCACGACGCCTGGACGTGAGGGTTCGTTGGCTTGGCCAAGGTCAGTTTGGCTGTTTGTTCGACTCTCCGATGCTTTCAGGACGCGGGGCTCGGGAGCTCTCAACCCCAGCGTTGCGGTGGATTCCGCGCCGTGGGCCCCTTCTGGGGGAGGGGACTCTGGGCACCAAAACTGTGCAAAGCGCATGCACGCAAGTGGTCCCTCGCCGCGACAGTGGCCGACTCGGAAAGCCTGGACCAAAAATAGGTGCGCCCCACGTTGATCAGGGGCCGACAGTCCTGGCATTCCTATAGGCCTACCACGACATGTTCTTAGAACCCAAAGATGTTCTGAGAACAAAAACAATGTTCTTAGAACAGAAGCCCGATGTGTTAAAACAAAGCAGTCCCGGCCAAAAATATTCCAAGAACATTTCGTGGAAGCCACAACGGGTTCTTAGAACATTGCTTGGTAGGCCTGTAGGCACGCCAAGACGCTTCGCCTCTGCTTGATCACTGTTACTTCCACTGCATTCCACCAACCTTCTGCTGGTGGAGCCGCCGGCGTCTTACTAGCGCCGGCTTCCGCTGGCCATCCGCCGAAGGCGAGATGCGCCGAAAGCCAGGCCTTTCTCTGTAACGCCCCATTGGCAGCCCGGGTCTGTCCGGTCGCATTCTGGCCCCCTGCCGCTCAGAGGTGCGGGATACCGCCGAGGTCATCGCCGCCAGGGTGTCCTCCTCGTCGGGGGGGGGGGAGGGTACTCACATGGCGAGGCGCGTCGCCGTGGAGCGTGCGTGTGTGCGTGTGTGCGTGTGTGCGTGCGTGCGTGCGTGCGTGTGTGCGTGAGTGCGTGTGCAAGTGGGCGTGTGTGCGAGTATGCGTGTGTGCGTGTGCGTGTGTGCGTGTGCGTGTGTGCGTGTGTACGTGTGTGCGTGTGTACGTGTGTGCGTGTGTGCGTGTGCGCGTATGTGCGAGGGTCCGTGTGCGCGTGTGCGCGTGTGCGCGTGTGCGCGTGCGCGTGTGAGCGTGTGCGCGTGTGCGCGTGTGCTTGCGTGCGCGTGTGCGCCTGCGCACGCGTGCACGCGCGTGCCTGCGCGCGTTCTCTCGTCGCCTCTCGAGGCTCTAGTTAGCACCAATCTGCTGTTTGCGCTTCAACTCCTTGCGTCGAGCTTCCGCTCCGCGGGCACGTTGGCCGCTGAATCCCGGCTTTACAGCGCCTCGTTCTTTTTTCCGTGGCCAATCTGCATGGCCGCGGCTGGATTCTCC